TTCTACCCCCCAGGAACGAGGTATGCTAACTTTCGCGCTATCTGGTTTATCTTGCCTTTGAAGGATTCTAACTTGAGCTTCGGAGCCCTTACGCCAGGTTCTCGCCGGAGCTTCTCTTCTCCTTCCATTTCAGGTCCCTGTTACTCAGTTCAGATGCAAGATCATTGACAGCTAAGACCGGACAGATTGTACATCATCAAATAGATAGTTACTTAATTGAAATTTTGGCATCAGTGGAGTGGTTAATTAAACATGTGTTTCATATATGGAAAGTCATAATCCATAGCTTCAACTAAACCACGTGGATTCTACCTAGCCATGCATCAAACTCAAGGCCATTAATGGACTCTTTAAACCATAAAACACTCTACCCCAGTCTTTATGACATTTTTCAGCAAATAAAAGCCAATTAGAACTTGATTGCAACAATATTTTTTTCTTCATCTGAATAGTGAGCTTGGATTAATTATCTCGTTTGCAGATGGAAAACTAGAGAAAATGAAATTTAATTTGTTTTTGAACCCCACTCTAATGGCCCCATTTTGATAGAGGAAGCTCAACTGCTTTCCTCGGTAATGTCATTGCATTGAGTGATGAAAATAGTAATATCAACAGATTAAGATGTTACATGAAAAATATCTATACCTACAAGTAAGGGTGGTCACGAGTCAAATTTTTTATGAGATATTCGAGTTCGGCTCGTTAAAAACTCGATTAGCCTTGGTTTAAATCAAGTTTTGAGTCGAGTTTGAATTTAATAAAGCTCAGTTCGGGNATATATATATATATATATATATATATATATATATATATATATATATATATATATATATATATGAATAAAAAATAAAAAAATTGTTTGTATAATTTTTTATTTTTATAAAACATTTGACTCACAGTAGAGTTTGAGCTTACGAGTTTTTGACTCAAGCTCAAGTCTCTAGCTTAAATCGAGTTTGAGCCTCATAGTTTATTGTTGAGCAGAGCTCTAATAACTAGATATTCGGTTTGGCTCGGCTTGAATCCATCCTTACGTACAAGCATGTTCTTGTCCATAAGGGATACTACAAATATAGGCTATGTTTCGTTCAACTCTCATTCTTGTTCATTCTATCCAATAATAAAATTCTAGAATTGACAGAAATGGGTAGAAATGGACAAAATGAGAAGATATTGCTATGAACCAAATATTTTTTTTCAAAATAAATAATTCTTTTCATTGCTAGAATGAAAATGAATTTTGAACATGTTTGGTATAAATTTCATTTTCATTCTTTTTTTTTTCAACCAAGCCAATAATGTAAGTATACATACAAATATAATACTGATTAGCAATATATAAAGAAAACATGCAAGACCCACACTAACAAAACACAAATACACCACCATGTAGGCCCTACATCAATGACACAAAATATGAAAAAGAAAAAAAGGACAAGAAACAAGAAAATACTTTGCTTTTGGTTGCATAGAGAAAATATAAAAATAAATAAATAAAGGAAGCAATTAGCACTTATTTAAAAACTAATTAAAAAAAAAATTAGTTTGCAGGCAGTTGTGTAAAGGAAGAAAAGAGCTTGGAACTTTCAAATAAAATATGTAAAATCAATAACATGAAAAAGTACAAAATGTCTAACAATTTCATCAATAAAAATATATACTAAAAAATCATAAAATAAAGTAAAACATCATATAAGCATGGCACATGTGGCTCATTTTCAATTTTCAAAAAAGCTCTATATTGGCAATCATAAAGTGCCAGCATAGTTTTACCAACGGATGGTCGGCGATTAATATCCATCGACGTAAGTTTTCACGACAGACCTAAGACAACAGTCAATTTTTTGTGCCACAAACTCATTTTTCATTCAAAAATAATGGAGTTCATGGCAAATATTTTATAACCAAATGCTCGCATGTTATTCATTTTTATCCATTCTTATTCAAAATGAAAAAGAAAAATTCAAGAAATTAGGCCTATAGCAGTGAACCAAACATGGTTATAATTGATTGAGTGTTGCAGAACTAAATACATACTATCAGGTTTTACAAGATGCTAAAGACTTTATTAATTACAACATTAAAAATTCAACTGTGATAAATCACTTCATAAAGTCATAACTAGTTCAAATTTTAAGTTCTATTTTTTATTTATTTATTTTTTTTTTTTTTGATTTAACACCTTCACAGTGCCGTTCATGCACCATAGTTTTTGCCATAAGTTTATTGGGTTTAATGCCTAGTTAAAACTAGGTCTTTCTTGTATTCTATCTATTTTCTCATGTCGTGACTTTCTTTTTTCAAATATTGTTCCAGATTCTGTTAGTCCCAAATGGACGAGAAATTAAACAGTTTTGTAGGCCTTTTGGCACAGTTGATAGTTGACAGATGCATTGTGGTGGTCTCATGCATTCCATTCTTCTTAAGCGAAGCATCCGTGTGTTGCATGGTTTAATTACTATTTTGGTGTTTGGGCAGATTGGGTTTTAAGACCACAATAGTTAAAGGCTCCCAGCTGCCCAGATTACATTAAGCTTCTGGGTTTCTATTTAATTTCGTGAATAACGAAGAAGGAAGAATTGGAAAACGATGAAAAAGAGAGATTCACAACAACCCGCGCGGTCCAATGTTTGGACCATTATATGCCTCCTTAGTTTCTTCTTTAATCTTTTATTGGCTCTCGCTTACAGTAGAAATTAATCTCCTGTTTCTTCTGTCAAGTGCCCACCTTCTACAAGCTGACTGGGGTGAATATATTATTTGAATCATGGCAAAATTGCTTTAATAGAAGTTGTTAGCATATTGGGCGACTGTCCTGTCCACGTAGAAAAAAAGAAAGAAAGAAGCATTAAAGAGTAAATAAAAGTAAATGAAGCAAAAAAGATAGGAAAGGGATTCCCACCTTTTTTTTTTTTTGTTCATTCATACACTTGTTTTGTTTTGATTTAACTTTTATCGATGAAAATGAGTGAAAAAGGTGGTGCAATCTAGGGAGACACCATCATAATGGTGCACCAAGGCTTAAAGCAAAACTCTGGGTGGGGGTGACAGAAAAGCTGATACATGATCGTGTGACCGAATGCTTGTCCACCATTCATATCTCGATATCTCATGACCTTTGTTTGCAGATCGACAAGGAGATCAAAGATTTCTAAGTCATTTAGATATATGTCAATGTTGCTTCTGTCAACATATGAGAGAATTAAAGTGGAAACCCCAATTGCTGAATAGAATTTCCTGTATTTTTATCAAAATAAATAACCCACATTCGATCGATATGAATACCTATTATCATTATTATTCTCTTGGGCAAATTCTGAGTTAATGGAATCCCTTTACAGTGGATTCGGAGTCCACACAGTCCACAAGTGAACATACATTGAGAGAGAGAGAGAGAGCAACTGCTGACCAGTACTTTTTGGAAGATTGTTGTAAGAAGGTTTATATATTAGTAAAAGGAATTTGCTTTGGAGTCATGCTTAGTGTCTGTGCATGTGCAAGTGGGATATTAGATGCTGATGTCTCTCTCTCTCGCAAGACAATGATGCTAAAGAAGGTACGCATTCTACCAGCACCTTTAATCTTCATAGAACACTAGCTAGTACAAACATAGACATGTTGAGAGTGAGGGCATCTTTTCAAAGAAAAGATGGGAGAATGGTTTGGTTGTTGCCTTATTGGGTACACCTCGTCCAATAAACTGCTGCTGCTTCTGCCTAAACAAAAGTTATAGTCCACTTGTACATGAATGCTTTATTACCAACCTCCTTTGTGAAAATCAAAATACTCTGGCTTTCCATTCCAATTTCCAAACACCTGGCTGAGCCTGAGACCTGCGAAACATGGTGATATAGGTAGTCACTTTATTTTGGCCATAAATTCTATTTTGGCCCTGAACCAGTTTTGAAAAAAATAAAAATAAAAAAGTAAAAAAAACACTATTGATATCGCCCAATACGACCCTGCCAGCGTATCAGATGTAACTTTGCTCACCCACTTCACAGCACTTGCAGCTGCGAGGGGCACTTTGATGAGCAAATCCAGCTTCCCAAGTCTCCACTACAAGCATCCAGACCTTATACCAACTGACCCAGATCCAGTAAGGGGTGCTCATGGTTCGAGTAACCAAATTGTCGGCTATTTTTTGAAATTGAACCAGTACCAACGTTTAACTGGTTGATCAGTTTCAGTTTTTGACCAATTTGGTTCTTCAGTATTTTATATTTATAATATATATTATAAATAAATATATAATATATTATAAATTTGCATATTATATTATAAAAATTATTAATATATAATATATTTACAATACATTAAAAATATATATATCTGATGCATATATATATTTATATACCAGTCAGTTTAGTTAACACCGGTTCTTTAGCTGAAAACTGAACTGGTCCTTCATTTTTTTCAAAAACACCTAAGTGATCGGTTAGATTAACTGCATTTTTTGGTTCAGTTTTCTCGGTTCCGTGAACACCCCTATTTCCAATTGGCACCTTCCCAAGGATTATAAATTCTTCTTTTTTAGGTCTAGATGATCTAACTGATATAATATTTTTATTATTTATTATTTTTGAGGTACTGATGGAATCGGCAAGTAACACAGTTCTGGAAATAGCTCGTCTCCAAAGTCCTAAAACAAAATTCATGTTACGAACCTCATCTAATTGCATTGGTCCTTCTAGAGTTCTAGTGTTGGTATATGGAAGAGGAGATTCCTTTCCAATCAATTCGTTGTTATCATTGATGTTTCCCACCCACTGAGGCATGAAGAAAGGCTAGCTATGATGCCTGCCTAAAGGCTACAAGTCTACACTCATTATGCCATTAGGACTCCACTGAAATTAAGCCGCTGTAGACATAACTAACTTCCAATTCCCCCTCCGGGAGCACGAGAAAAGAAGCCAAAAGTATTCCCAGAAGCCAGATCTCAATCTATTTCTCCGCAAACACGACCACTAGCCCCGAAAACAAAAACAAAAAAAAAAAAGAAAGAAATACAAAACAAAACAAAATACTGTTTTCTACATTCTACACACCACAACCAGGCCATTTTGTGAAGCATACATTTGGCTTCTGCAGGAAGCCAAACAGTAAAGAATTGCCAAGAATATAACTTGAAGAAGGTTCTGCAGGAAATCCATTCTTGACACATGCACATTCTAACAAAGTAAAATTTCAGGTTGCCACTATGACTTGCATCAGTAATGATATATTTTGGGCCATTATTGGGGGAGTGCAAATCAAAGTTAAGCAATCTCTGTAAATGTGACAAGCAGACTTACAAACATTCTCGTTATTCGCCACCAGTAGCCATCAAGAACTCGCCCTCGCAAACCACCTCACCTCCAACATATGCCTTTCCTTCCATCTTTGCAATTCCAAAGCGTTTTTGCAGTTTAACAAGTGTCATTCGCATAACCAATGTGTCCCCTGCAACAACAGGTTTCCGGAACCTCACTTTATCAATTCCAGCAAAGAAGAAATTTTCACGAGAGCCACCCACTTCTGGTTGCAGCATCACCAACCCTCCAACTTGAGCCATTGCCTGTGTTCAAGTACCACATGCATTATTAATTATCAGGGAGGGGTCCAGAAGGCCATTGAATTTGCAAATGCCAACTTAACAAAGGCAAAGGTGTACAAAATGGACAGAAGTATAATAATTCTGAGGTGCTAAGAAATTATATGGGACTTTACGCCATGAAGAATTTAAGATATGAAGATGAAAGAATTAGACATTAAGGGTGTCAAGAAGCTTAAATTAAGTTTATATATATTCTTTTATTTACTACAAGAAATTATATGGAACTTCATGCCATGAAGAAGCTATGGAATAAAAAGATTAAAACACTAGACATTTAGGATGTCAAGAAGCTTGGATTAGTTTTTTTTTTTTTTTATTAAAAGGAAGTGTGCACCACCACAAGGTGCAGCAGTTTAACACTTGACTTCTTAAACCGTATAGGGAATGTCACACTTTGGCATTTTACAGGCAAATCAACAAAAGACCAATTCTAGCATTGAGTTAGAGCCACAGACGCCTTAAAACACAAAAGGACAATATGTAACGATCACATAACACATATATTGCACAAACATATCCATGTTCAGCCTTTACCCTGTTGTGATTCAAGACCTCCACAGTGCTCTCTGTAAAAACACACCTTGCATTTCACACAGCAATACAAAACGAATTAATATTAGCAGTTTTATCCAACACAAGCCATTTAAGGAGGAAATCTGGAACCTTAGAGCAACCATGTTAGAGAAAATGAAGGTTCTAATACTTTTATAATTGTAGGAAGATGGAAGATTTAGAAATTGATATCATAAAATGTGCAGAAAACAAAGTCTTCCATGGAAAGGGGCAAAAATATGACTGAAATATTTAAGAATATTAGTACAATAATCTTGTTGACGTGGAAAAATCCACTGTACACAAAATACAGAATGGTTCATTCAATCAAGCCTGTCAGCTTTGATAGCTCAGACTTGGGTTCAAGTCTGAAAACCACCCCTAACACAAAGAAAGAGATGTATAGGGGAAAAAGAAGAAACATTTCTTTAAGGGATAAGGGGGAAGGGAGAGACTGCAGTGAAGAGCTTCCATGACAATATTCCTTTTTCTTTATTTTCTTTTTTATCTGAGAGGAGGGGAAGAGGAGAGATTAAGGTCTCTCTATCCTGTTTGCAGTCAAACAAAGATTATATAGTTGGGCATTTCCTTCTATCTAGCTCAAACTTTAAACATAAGGATTGTCACATTTTACAGAAACTTAATTTGTCATATGAATACCAATATTTCATATATCAAATATAGTCCAAATAATCAGATTGATAATAGGTGGGCCCATAGTTGTCAAGGCAATGCCTAGGTGGCATGGTGGTTGCCTAGAAGCATCACTACAAGTATTTCAGGAAGGGCACTTGCTCAGCTCATTACATCACTAACCTTTTTGTGATTTGGACTGGGCAGGGTGTCTTCTTACTAGGCAATCAACCACTGGGTATGTTACTACATTGGGCCATTCCCCAATGTCATGGCACACCAAGAAACAACCTATGGTGTCCTGTTCATCTGCTGAAGCAGAGAACAGGGCCATGGCCATTCTCAATGGTGAACTTGTTTGGTTCAAGCAGCTCTTCTCTGATCTGGGCCTTCATCATGCCCAGCCCATGCAAGTGTTCTGTGATAACAAGGCGGTCATACACATTGCAACTAACCCACCATTTCACGAAAGGACAAAACACATCGAAATAGATTGCCATTTCATTCGCAAACATTTGAAATCTCATGTCATGGCCACATTGCAGCTAACCCAGTGTTTCACAAAAGGACAAAACACATCAATATAGATTGCCATTTCATTCGCGAACATCTGAAGTCTCATGTCATTGCCATATTCCATATTCCTACCAAGGTCCAGCCAACCAATTACTAGTGTCCAGGGACCAGGTTGGGCATGTTCAACCCACACAGCCCAACTTGAGGGGGCGTATTAGTGAAATGTAATACTTAGAAAAGGTTCCAGTTTGTTACAAGTTGTTATGTCCACTTGCCCAAGTGGCACAACTGACTTTACATTTGTTACACCAACTTTACATTTGTCCCCAGTATCTATAATATAATGTTCTTAATGAAGGACAAATCATCTCCCTCGACTCAGACTTTCTCACACCTCTGTAATTTTCAGCATCTAAAGATGCTAGATGGGTGCTTTAAAACATTCTCAACATATTTAAATCAGTTGAATCATTGTCATGTTCTATTAAAATAAACATGATACACTGAATAATTATTAACAACTTTTAACTCTCATACCTTCTGCTTCATAGCAATATTTTAAAACGCGGAGGCGTGACGCAAGGTTTTCCACTACCTAGAGGCGTGAGGCATAGTTCAGAACGTAAGAGGCATAAGCCTCCCAAACACAAGGAGGTGTAAGCCTCCTTAAGAGGAGGGGGATGAGGAGGAAGGGGAGGAGGAAGAAGAGGACAGAGGATCTCATTTTTCTTTATTATTAAAAAAAAAAATTATATTAAGAAGAATGAAGATGCATAACACTAGTTGAAAGGGGGGTCCTATCTTCCCTTCCCTTCCCTTTCCTTTCCTTTTCTCTTTTTTCTTCTCATTCTGTTCTTTTTTTTCCCTTCCCTTTCTTTTCCTTTCCTTTCCTTTTTTCTTGTTTCTTTCTTTTTTTCTTTTTTTGTCTTTTTATATGAGGTGTGTGTGAGGTGCATGAGGCGTATGCCTCTAGCACACCTCATGAAAAAGGCATATGAGGCATACGCCTCTTGCACCTGAGGTGTCCTCAGAGGTGTCAACTCCTCTGGCATACACCTTCGGGCATTTTGGGGGCACCTTGCCTAGAGGTGTGCATCCAGGCATACGCTTCCTATGCCTTTTAAAATACTGCTTCATACTTGAATGTTTTTCCTTTTTCTGGGAATTTTATACTCTAATATCTAAATCAAGATTATGTAAACAGGCTCTGTAAATGTTTTAATTGAAGAAAAATTATGTGAAAACTTATCATAGGCACTGATCAAAAAAGGCTGATGAAATGGCTGAATCAAACAGTTTATTGGCTTATGGCTATAGCTTTGTCTTTTAGTAGGTAGACACTATAGGCATAGGAAGGTTCAAAGAAAAATTATGTTAGAACTTATCTTAGGGGGCTGTATGGTATGGAAACCTTCAAACTTGCTCCATCTTGATAGAGACATGGATATTTTCTGATTGAGACATTCAAACACGCACAAACCTTGTATGTCAACCACTCCACTAATCGTGTAACCAAGGTAACTTCACTAAATATAATCAATTATATGTTCATCAAGAACCAATTCAAATAAAATATCTCCTTATCATCCAAGAGCATGGATGGCAGGGTACAAAAGGGAACAGCATTATGCTGACCTCTCCTGTTTAATCACTACAATTCAGATATGTTTATATATGTATATTCATGGTTGACTAGAAGAAAGATAGTTGCTGTTTTTCATAATGGACATGTCATTTTCTGTTGAAGGCTTTAATACCCAAAACCATAATTATGTGTTGTTTCTGTCAAAGCAATATGGTTGGGCCTAGCCCCACCCCTTGAACCCCAAAGCTAGTTTTGTTGGGAAATATTTCAATTAAAGATCAATACTTGTGTGATCCTCCAAAGGAGAAGACCTACTTGGACTCTTTTGCCATGAATATGCTTTCTCTACAAGGCAAGTTTTGAAACAACCAGTTATCAAAAAATAAAAAGTTTTGAAACAACCGTACATCTACTAATCTCCTATTCCATATCTACAAGTGTTTGGGAACTTTTTTTCCCTATTTTATCCCAGGTAGAGTCCTCTACTAGACATGCATATATAGTTTCAACCTTTTTATTCTCCCCTAGGAGAAAGAGAGGAAAGATCCTTGGAGATGTGTGTGCAGTAGTGTGAGAATATTATAAAATCCCTATGGATTACATCTTCATATCTCTTTTCATTTCTTTAATAAATTCTTACCTTACCATTCTCAAACAAAAAAAGAAAAACTCTATGGATGACATCCTTGGGCTGCGTTTGGTTTATGAGAATATTATAAAATCCATTAAGGACTTTCCCAACTTCAATAATAATTTCCTCAGAAATCAAACACTTCAGTTCTAGGGCTTATTTTTTATATAATATATAAAAAAGAAAATTTTATTAAAAGAGAAACAAACTGGTTTGGTTATCCCCACCACAAAATAGGTTAAAGCTAAAATTTTATGAAAGCAACACGGAAATCTTGGACAATTAGGAATAAGTGGAGCTATAACAAATCATGAAATACATATTTATTGTGTACAAAAGACTGTAGCTGTACAAAAAAGAAGAAGAAACCACTTTCTTTCTTTTTCTCTTCTCGAAACCCTTGGATCTTTTAAATTTCAATAGTTAAAACATTAAAGCAGAAAGTGATCTATATCATAGCATGTATCAAAGCACATACTAATAAGATGTGCTTTGATACAGATCAAAGCCGTTTTGGTAATAGCATTATAATATTCAGTTTTGGTACAGATCAAAGTATTCAGTTTCAGTCTTGGCGCCTGATGAGGGGTAATTTGGCACGACCTAGTAAACAAGGGTCACATGGACGCGATCTTCCAGTAGGATGACAACTCAGCAAGAAGAGCCTAGTCAACAGTTTTCAGAGCTCGGGTGTTCGATCACCTCAATACAAAGCCACCTCGGCATAGAGTCACCTCAGTATAGAGGCACCTCAGCACCTAAGCCAGTTTGGGACCCAAGAATCAAAGTGACACGTAATCGACTCCAAAAGCTTCTCAGCAAACTCCGAACCTCTCGGGCAACAACAGGCCTTATCCTCTACCCACCCGGATCGGGCGGTAACGATAGACTTCATTGATTGATACGTTACTCCCCGTCTAAAGCGGAAACGAATCTCATCTACTCAAGCCGAAGATCCCAGAATCGTTTCGTGAGACCCACAGTAGCTCAACTATATAAGGGCATCAACCCCTCCAGGGCCCAGGTATGCGCGATTATTTGCAT